TTGCAATCTACTTAAATCTAGGAGGTTTGTTACATATCACTCCCTAGATAGTCGTTGTAGTCATCACGACCTACACACGTAGAAAGAAAATGAAAGAAGTGATTGAACACACGAGACCTTAATAAATGGGGTTCTAAGTTTGAAGGACTTGAAAATCTATAGACTCGGAAGTTATTGACAATCTTATATATGAAAATATTATTCTTCATCTTCTATCTATACATATAAAAAAAAAATTAACTGATCGTCTGTACATGGAAGGTATTTACGATAAACTATTATTAGGGTTTTTATTAACGCAATAGAACCCAAAATAATGATTTTTAGAATTTTTGTCTGTTTGTCTGAGCGTTTGTGCGTGCTAGTCTAAGAAACGGCTTAACAGATTTGGGTGCGGTTTTCGCTAATGTATTGTGGTTGACTTCACTTAAAATTTAGTATTTGTTTTAATTTTAATCGTATCATAAATAAAAAAGTTATATAAATTTAGAAAATCACCTTCAGCTCAGTTCATATACCTATGTCTATTATTTATACGTCTTACAAAAATTATCGTTCAATAATGTCTTACGTTAATCCGAGCCCTATATAGCGTTTATAGTAATAACAAATAATATTTTTATATTCTTTATTCAGACATAATTTATTATACATTATACATTTATACAATGAAATTAAAAATATAAATAAATAACTTGCAAAATGTAACTAATAACATTAATTCATGAGTCATTACACTAATTAGAAACAATAAATTATGATATTTCGATTACACATAGCACCATAAGGTGCTAAATTCTATGTATTTCCGACAAAACTGCTGCATGGATCTCGACAAAATTAGCCTAAAATACGAGATGTGGGGCTCTCCTCAATGCAAGGGGGATTGAGTGCTAGCATTAGTCAGCTTTTTTCAATCTTAGAGGGTTCCTTTATGGTGTTTAAGTCGACCATATAGAGCGTACTTAAAAATCTCAGAGAAGCGAGACCATGGCTTGCATCCGCTTTCCATCTTCGTTTTACTTTGCATTCCAATCGAGTACGTTAAGGAGTTTCAAACATGATTAAAATTGTTTTTATGATGGTTCTGTACCCGAAGGGTGCCAACGGAACACAATTACTAAGTCTCCGCTGTCCGTCCGTCCGTTTGTCAGAAGGATGTACATATCTCATGAACCGTAATAGGTAGAGTAGAAATTTTCACAGAGTGTGTATTTATATTGCCGCTATAACAACAAGTAATAAAAAAACCAAGATGGTGAATTTCAAAAAGGATGTCACACAAATTAAAAGATATCGACTATGGTACGGAACTCTTCGTGTGTAAGTCTCACTCGCACTTGACCGATTTTTTGTTCTCAAACTACAAATAAACAATGATATTATTCAAAAACTAATATTTATCTATTTAACGAAATAATAGTGTTAATTATAAAACCGGAATAATCAAGCGAGGGAACAGCACTAGGAATTAATAATCCATACTAATATTATAAATGTGTAATTGCGTTTGTTTGTTTGTCTTTCTTTCACGTTGAAACGGAGTGACGGATTGGCATGATTTTTTGTGTGGAGACAGTTGAAGGGCTGGAGAGTGGAGAGTAACATAGGTTTTTAACCGCGGGAGATTATCTCATTCACGTTATAATACAATTCAAAGAAATATTTATGATCAGAATTACTTGAAACTTGGTATTAATGCTCTTTGATAAAATTAAATAAATACGTGTTTTAGCATTTTTAGAAATTCATCCTATGATAGGGGATGAGATTTTGTATGAAACTACCTTTTTAGAGATGTCTTTGTAGTTTTAGCGCAAGCGAAGCCGAGGGTTTTGCTAGTATTCCATATTCTACAAACGTCTTCAATAATATTTACTATTCATAAATGAAATATGACAACTATAAATACTTTAAATAGCAAAAATATTTATAACCGTACGATAGATTTTTCTTGACAATATTAAGAAGATTGTAGGTTTTGAGCTACTAGAGCCACGTAATTTGTATTGTTTATCTGAAGAGTCAGTGTGAAGTTTTCTCAGAGTTTTTATATTATTTTCCGAATCTACTTGGTGGAAAAGTTAAAATTAGTACATAACATTAAATGGGGCTATAAATAAAAGAACACGCTATGGAACAAAAATATTTTACTCCTTTTTTCTTTCTTGGGTATTGGTCAGGATATTTTATGTTTAACGCAACTATTTCGCTATATTCATCAGTATAAGAGCTTAGTCCATAAATAGGAGTAAGAAAAGGCTAATTTTATTAATTGCTATTTATTTTTCGATATGCGGTAGCTCTATTTTTATTTATATACGAAAATATTAGGTACTTTCGTTTACTATCTATTCCACAAAAAAAAAGCTTGAGGAAGATGAAAAAACCACGAAAGTTCTATACTTTAAAATATGCCAATTTAGTTGATAACTCATCAATAACTTGATGGAAAACATCGTGAAGAAACCGGCATGACTGAGAGAAGCTAATTAGTGTTCGAAAGACATGTTAATCGCCAATCCGCACTTGGCAGCCTGGTGGACTAAGCCTGATTCCCCTCGCATTGTAGGAGGCCCTCTTCCAGCAGTGGGACATCACAATGTGCTAAATTATTACTAGTCGTATTCAGATATCTTTGTATTTTAGCTTGAAATGTACCTTCAAGTAAATCAGTAAATTCAAGATATCATTAGAGGCCTCTAACTAGAATAAAAATAAAAAATGTATGTCATAACTATGACATACATTTTTTTTAACTGTAACTTTAATGCATATTACAATTTTAAATACATAAGATTTACATTAGAAGCACGAAAAACAAACGAATAATAGAGATAAGTTAGTCTACAGTCTGGCACGACAATATTTTCTTAGCGATCATAAATTTTAACGAAAATACTTAAATTCGCCTTGTACTCAGTCGTTTTCATAATTAAGTTTTATCTAAAACCAGCATCATGTTCCGTCTTTGCTTTCACAACATAATTTCTAATGTTAATTCCGATATAGTGCTATCCTGTTTAATAAACCCCCGACGGAAAAAGAGAAGTGTTATAAGTTTGACGTCGATGTGTGTGCGTATGTGAGTGTGTGTCTGTTTTTCCGATTTCGATACTTTTTTTTCATTTAAATGCCGGTTTCCTTGCGGTGGTTCTTAGCTATGTTTGGTTAATATCCGTCCAGCAGTGTAAAAGTATCAGCTCTTTTCCAAAATGACGTAAGGCATTTTGGTGTATGATAACTCAATTTAAGTGCTTCACGTGTGCCAGTGTAATCATTAAATGACAATTAATTTGCGTAGAGGGTTTTTGAATTTTTTAATTTATCATTTTTGGAGTTAAATTTAAAAAATAGTTTTTTAGCAAATACATGGGATTCACTATGGAATAAAAGTGAACCTATTTATCTACCAACAAGTAAGTACATGGGCGATAACAGAGAAATTAAAAATTTGCAAAGAAACCGTTTTTAAAGTCGGTCATAAAAACATCAATAAATAAATTTTTATTTCATCTTATTTCTTACTAATATTATAAATGTGAAAGATGGATGTTTGGATGTTTGTTACTCAATCACGCCAGAACGGCTGAACGGATCTGGATTAAAGGCAAAAAGATAGATCATATTTTGGAATAGCACATAGGCTACTTTTTATCCCATAAAAATGTACAATTCCCGTGGGATAGATTGGTTTCTGTTTTTCTAGAGGCGAATCTGAGTGAAGCGAAGGTGAGCCGTTAGCTATGCATATGTGATACAAAATATGTGAACATAATTTTAAAGAGGAACCTATTTATTATTTGATACTGGATGCCAAATTTCATCGAAATCAATTCAGCTTTTTACACTTGAGAAAATAACAAACAAGCTGAAGACTTACTTTCAGACCGTTTCGGTACTCATTACACATAATTTTCATTGTTTTCCAAAGTAACTAATACCTATATTTTAACAATACTGATTTATATTTATACTCTTATATACAAAAAAATCTTACTATAATAAATTCCACAATTCTATTACAAAGCTAATGCTTATTATATATACGTTCCATTAAAGCGTAGGCTGACTATACTTTTTCTTTTGCCATTTTAATTATAAACACATGCGATGCCAATGTTATTATTTTCTTGTAAGTAAGAGAAAAATTATCGTTCCAACTTCAGCGAATTACAAATATCAACTAGTGTCTTTTATACATAATATAAAAAAAATAATACTTTATGTACACTGTTCTTTAATATAATGAGCATACAGATATAAATAACATCACTTATTTATTATAGAAATATGATCAGATCGCATGACAAGACATAAAAACTATACGAAACATTAAGTTTTTAATAGTTTATAGTTTATACACTTAATCCTGTACACACAAAACTACTATTGAATACATATATTTTAGAAACTGAGGCTATTCTTACTTATTTACTTTTTATTTTGAGGAAATTTTATAAGGTAAGCATTTTATTATACGTTTTTACTCTACAAAATTTGATATAAAATTCACATAGCTAGCTCGAGGCCGTGATAGGCGCAAATTAGAGTTAGTAGCACTACCACGAGTTCTCACACTTACGTCAATGATAAATATAAATACTTATTCTAAGGGCCACTGTGCTAAATTCTAAATTAAGTTTAGATGTCTTGAATGTGTTTAGAAAACGTCAAATTGTACTGTTTGATGTTTGATAAACATGTTTAAGACATTTAAATGAAATTAACTTTTTTGATGGTGAAATGTTTAAATTACATTATTTATTAATATTTGTTTCATTAATCATCCACCATGGTATCCAATATTCAGAATTTGTGTAGATGACTGTCCATCTATTAGATTTATTAAGATCTAACTCGTTATTCCAATCGTTATATAGAATTACCACTTCACATTGTTGAAATAATATACGAGTACACTTAATTTGTTTACACTTATCACTTTAAAACAGTCATAGACACTGTTCTCTTATTTTCGCCTGTAAAGCCCGCCCTCAAGGTAGCGACGACTTTGCACTGTAACAAAAATATATTTCATTATCTCCTCCATAAGCCAAATATGTGTACATATGTATGTACTCGTACACGAACGAAAAATTATAATATCTCACATTATAATTAAAAGGCAAAATGGTTTTTTTTTATGTTTATGCACAGAATATGTGATATCTATGAAACTATCGAACCACTTCTACAAATTTTTCACTATTAGAAATGTATATATTATACATTTAAACGGTGTCTTAGAAAATTAGACTAAATCATCAAACCGCGTGACCCATGCGTGACCCAAGCCTCAGGTAAAATTTAGTTATTTATAGTAGTTCCTTAGACTTACACGAATAATGGACACTTTAAATACAAAGCCTTTTTTTCTTCTGTCTTAGTTTTCATGTTTACGCGTTCCAAGCTCGACAGAGGTTTAAGCATTTTGGGATCAATACAAAGATTCTCAAACGCAAAAATCTAAGCATTAATTGTATAATAGAAAAAATTAAAGGCACTATATAATTAAAGCATTGAAATTAATTGCCTATTTGTAAGCTTTTGCCCTCGTCTGTTCTGCTTCTAAGGTAGCATGATGATAGGTATGTAAGTAGAACTTAGCCTTCAATAAATAGGCTATAAGATTATATAAAAAAAATCTAATTAGACCAAACAAACAAATTGTTCAGCTTTTTAATATTTCACAACAATTCAAAACTACTACATAAAAAAGCTGACCAAAAATAGGTACTCATTAATTTACAGCATTCTAAAAAAGATCCTGAAAATACGGCCGAGCTTATGAAATATCAATATTGCTTTAAATCTTACACATAATTGCCTACTTAAAGTCAAAGCTTTGATAACTTTTATGGAACTCAGTAATAAATTATAAGGGATAGAAGGAATTTGATGAACGTATTCACTAAGTATTTGCAAAGTTGCCTAAACCTTTAAAGAACATGCTACCTTCGTTATTATGTAAGGGATCAAGCAACAAAGAGACCATTCTCGAAAGAGATGAGCCAGTAAAAATGGTAAAGAAAGATCCTTTATATTAAACTATATTAAGATGGATGGTTATACGTATCGCAACATGTTACAATTACGAAAAGAAGCGCTTCATGAATATTTCATAGTAGAATTCAGTTGCATAGAATTACATATATTTGTATATACGTTCAAGTAACATATGTAATTAAAAGATTTGAGAATGGCTAAAAATCATTATTAATTTTAAAGTTTAAAATATATATTATAAATATCATCAATTTCAATCACGTTGGTAATCCGTATTAATATTATGTATATAATGTGAAAGTTTGTGAGTATGGATGTTTGTTACTCTTTCACGCTAGAGCGGCTGAACGGATCTGGATGAAATTTGGCACAGAGATAGATTTTAGTCTGGAATAACACATAGGCTACTTTTTATCCTGGAAAAATGTACAGTTCCCGTGGGATAGGTTAGATTTTGTTTTCGTTTTGTACTCATAATATTTGATTATTATGCATAACGTACTATTAACTAATAAGCAGTGAGCGCGTTGGGATTTTCCACCGGCAATATAAACAGAAATTTTCAATTTTCTCTAGAGAATAATAAACCTATGTTTAAAATAAAATATTTTTGTTTGTACGATATTTGATTTTGTTTTTTCGATAATCGTAACTTAAAATGTATAAATGGTTTCGTCTACTTTGTACGATATTGATCCTTCGATCGTCTCTCAAAACAAATTAATGTATTGCCCATACAATTAATTTATTAATCAAATTGATTATGTTTTAACATTTATTAAGTTAAGCAGTGAGCTTAGTGAATTTTTCATATTAATCACTTAAATAAAAATCATGCAAGTGTGTTTCGCACACCGAGGGTTCCTTAATATAAAACATAAAATGTATATTGGAAACATACGTTATTTGTAACATTAATAGTAAAATAATTAATAGTAGAATAATATTTGCTAATATATTTTTTCATTTTTTGACTGCAAAGATAAATTAGTACTTCATAGTATTTCTATGAAGAAAATTATTTTTGTAGCTTTGACATACAAATATGTAGAAGAAATTTTTTGCCTTTTGGCTTCGAAATCCTATAAATTATGAGCTTCCACAGAAATTTTCCTAATCTCGAAATGCCCGATTGAACCCCTTTATGAAGTGAATTTTAAAAGCCTAAAAATTTACAAATACAATAATTTTATATAAAAAACTACTTTGCATAATTTTATGCCTCTAGAACATTCTCCTTCACACTGAAACAGTTTGATGTATTTTAATGATATTTAATGTATACAGACTACCAGGAATGGCGCAAGGCATCTAGGGATGTACTCAATGGGAAATCGGGTAAGTCGACAGTATAAATTCTAATCAACACCTATCTAATCTCTAATAGTATGGAGTATAATTATAAATAAATAAAATATAAACGTTAACAAATAGGTTAAGAAATGTTACTTTAATTTTTGTTTGAAAAAATCCATTTTATACTGGAAAAGAATAGTTTAAAATCGTAGCAAAAATTTCCCAACATTTTCAAAGTTAGAGTTGTATAAAACAATAAAAATTTATTCATTTGTGCTAAACGAGGCCAAACTTAGTACTAAAACAGCATACTTTATTTGCGACAATGCGACGAAAATGGGTAGAATTTACGATTTTGAAGAGAGCCAAGCTAGCTATTTAAACGTAAATAAAAAAAACTTTTAAGAAATCCCACTCTATGGTTTGGCATTGTTTTGTAACAATTATTACGGCTGATTCTAAATTAAAATATATCTCCTGAGACCCATTTAGTAGAATCTTGTTTGAAAGTAAAACAGTTAAAGCGTTTCATTACTTAGGTATTTCGTAACAATGCGCGAGATTTTTTTGATCGATCTAGTTGAATATTTGAAGAAGAATATAAAGTTTTATGTAGAAAGCAATTACGAAACATAGATTATGTTGGTTATATATTTTTAATCCCCCGACGCAAAAAGAGGGATGTTATGAGTTTGACGTCGATGTCTGTCTGTCTGTCTGTGGCATCGTAGCTCTCAAAAGGATGGACCAATTTCGATGCAGTTTTTTTTCATTTGAAAGCCAGTTTCCTTGCGGTGGTTCTTAGCTATGTTTGGTTAATATCGGTCCAGCAGTTAAGAGTATCAACTCTTTACCAAAATGATGTAAGGCATTTTGGCGTATGATTAGTCGATTAAGTGCTTCACGCCTGCCAGTGTATCGTTAAATGACAATTAATTTACGTAGAGGGTTTTTGTAATTTTTTAATTTATAATTATAAGTTGATTTATCCACAACTTTCGCAAGATATATCAACTATACAATCAACTACGTCTATTCCAACTATCTTGATTAGTGTGAAAGAATCTTCATATTATGTTACATGGAATGTGTCATAACTTTGCATAACTATTTCATCAATTTCATATCGACTTCATAACGGTAGTAAGAGGTATATATGTACGTATCTACTATCGAGATACGTACATATATACCTAATATATATTGTATTATGCGCGATTAAAAACTAAACTGCCTTTTTCTTTTCTAGTATTTAAATTCATAATAATAGATGGTCCTCTACGAATTAGATCTTGTCTTCTAATACATCATAGATCAAAGATTAAAGTAATATACATATTATATACTAAATGTGTATTTGTCCTGTAGGTACGTATATAATTATTTTTCTTTTAAAATTTTTTTCTCTATATATACAAAAAATTAAAATTATTATTTTACGTACATATTAATATATATAATACATTTATAAGCTTACAAACTATGGTTTTAACTGGAAAAATTGTAGAAGCAAACCAATAATTAACATACGATATTTAATATTAAATTATATAACCGAATCGACTTACATTTAATTCAAGTTATGGAAGCTCTGGTGTAGTTATCTTTTAATCTTTTCTATGCACCTGTTGGGACAAAATAATTTCATGCCTTTTTCAATGCTAATAATATATTAAAATATATCTCATATAACACATTAGTTCACAAGCCTAAAAGAAATATATCTAAAACAAAACAATTCTGTTAATATAAGTTGGCTCACTATTACAAGGTTCTATGTTACAATTTTAGTACTCATTTAGTTATTAATGCTACAAGGTTCTATGTGTCATTAGCTACAGTTTTGCAACAACAAACCACTAGATAGCGGCACTTTAACTACAAAATATTTAATTTCACATAGTTATATGTTGTTTTTTTACGATAACAAAATAACGAAATTCTATGTAAAAATTACTAAACTTCTTTAAAATTAACATAGGACCTTGTAATAGTAAGCCAACGATATGTAAATCACGATATCAATTAATAACATAACAAGAAATAGCTCTAGAGCAAATAAAAAACATCATTAGTACATAACCTTGATAATTAAATAAAAGCAAGCCAAAAGTAAATAACAACAAAGTTACATACGTGTTCTGATTGTGAGAGTCCGATTGTGAAGCAGTTGCGGGTAGAAATCGCGCGAACCGACGTTGTAAAACCAACTGCCTAAAAGTTTGACGAAACTGCCTTGACATTGAACAATATAAAATGAAATTTATAGCTCCATTAACTAAAGCTAGCAGATCCATCATATCTCCCAGTAAATTATAGCATCTAACAAAAAAACACCATCCCAAAACACCGCTAAGTAGACCCAATATACCCTGCGGTAATTCAGTTAATAGGAATAGAAGCCAAACTGCTAACAGCATTTTTGTTGTTCTATCAGTCCTCTTATCCGCTTTATGTTGGCGCTTCACCATTTTCTCTGCGGATGGACATGAGCTATAATTGCGTAGATTTTTTTGATGCTGATTCGCGCTATATAAGGCTCTAATTAACCACCAGCTAATAACAGTTAAAATCAAGCATGGCAATAGCTTGATTAGTACGGCGTGTACCCAAAAATTAACTTGATATAAAACGCCTTGACTGTCCGAGTCCAGATGGTAAGCAACCGATGGTCTGTCTTTAGATTCTGTCAAGTTCTTTGTGTGTATGTCGAATACCTGCGGAAAGTGAAGTTGATGTTAATACCTATTGTATGGAAATTGTGAATACTTTATAGTCGTATTGTACCTATATTTGGCACAAGAGAATGTTCGACCTTGACTTTTAAAATTAGTGTATTGAACTGCATTAATTATACTGCGATGTCATATACATGAGAAATAAAAACATCACATCCATTAAATATTATAAAATATTTAAAAAACACTAGCATTGCCCGCGGCTCCACCCGCGTTCAGATAATCAAAAACCAAATTCTTAGGTTTTGCATATTAGTATACTCTTACATTTCAGTTTTTGTATTTTTTCTCAGAAATGAGATATTTTCCCGCGGTAAAAAGTATCCTTTATATTGATCTGGATAACCAACTATCAACCTACCAAATTTCATCAAAATCCCTTCAGTAGTTATAGACAGAAAGACAGACAAAAATTCTAAAAACTATAGATTCGGCCTCTGTATCGATAATAATATCTATTTCAATAAGATTTTCCGAAAAATATTTAATGTACAGATTCGGCTTAGTTACAATTTTATTATATGTATAGATTAAATTAAGTACTCACCAAGAATGTTGGTATGCATAATATCGGTGGTAATATAAAACTGCTTAGTATGGCAATGCTACATCGCCTTTCCGTGCACAAAATGTGACTTCTATCTGAGTATCTAAAATAAAAGAAACAAAAGCTCAAGTCGATCCATGTCATAACATAAAAACAATTATCTTCGATACAGTACTTAATATTTTTAAACAGACAAGAAAGCCTTTGAGACAACAAAAAATGTGGAGCTATAAAACATTACAGCTAGAATGGAGGAATTATATCATTTTTTTATTTCTATACAATATACGTATTACAAATGCTTCTCAAGGGATCTACTTGATCTAACAGAACAAAAGTGTTTTATAAGTAGGGTACTCTCTATGACAGTTACCAGTAGCATGTAAAAGATTATGCCGCAGTGATGACTGCGTTAAACAATGCCAAACCAACAAATATTCATAATATAAAAATAATGGTTACATATTAAATATTAATGTAAGTATGTATGTATATTAATGTCCAATAAAAATATTATACTCACTTTATTGCCACATATCTCCATATCGCCAGCGAAAGTGTGAGACATATTGACGCCGTATGTAATATTTGAGCAAAATGCATATGAAAAAGTAAGTACATGGCCCAGGAATACGGAAAATCCAATTTTTCAGGTAAGACCTAGAAGAAATACCTTTATGAGTACAAGAAGATTTAAAATTAAATATCTCGATGCTTTTTAGTCCTTTGGCATAAGGGTGCCTCGTAGTTAGCTTAAGTTTGTATCGTGTGTTGGGGGGGTACTCATTAACATCCGGCAATCCAGCCGGAAAAAAATCTATATGGAAAGACGCCCACCTCAGTGGGTATTAGAAGGTGAATCATATGGATTGCTTTTGGTATTTCTCTATAGTAGAGTATAGCGTGGGAGCTACCTACCCTGCTTGTTGTGATCTACGCCATTACGTCAGCTGTCGTTAATGTCGCTTGTCGGTTAAATGATTAAGTGATAATATATACAGATACATTATGTAAGAAAGTATTATAAGTGATTCTCAATGTCATTGGCAAGATGGGGAAAGTTTCGTTGGGCTTTAGTGGGTAGTACTGGCTCTTCTAGCCCATGAGTTCCACAAAACCTGTACGTACACAAGTAGCATACCTAAGTTCATTTGCCAACATTAAAAAAATCTTGCTCGCTTGCTTTTTTCTCCCGCGTTTTTTAATAAAAAATAATCAATAACAATAAATGAACAGCTATAATGTACAAATTTTTAGTAGGTATTTTAAAGAATTTGCAATAAATATTCAAGATAGAATATTTCATTATCTTAAAGTAGATTTATTATGCATTCGCAAATGAAATGTAAATGAAATTTTACATTAACATAGCGAAAGGTTTACCACTTGCAAAGGGACTAAGAAAGCCGGATAACTTTGCGCTAGAACATTGCTTCTAAAAATTACTAGCTATGTACACTCGCTTCGCTCGGGTCACTGATTGCCTGATAGTAGGTAATCTGTGTACTTCACTCAAATCTGTCCAGCCAGTTCAACGCGAAGAAGTAACACACATACACACACGTACATAAGCGGTAATTTTTAATGAAGTTCAAAAAAGAAAAAGATTCTTAACTCGAGTGCACTTTTTATATATACATATTCACATATTATAAGACGATAAAAAAATATATATAAAAACTACTTTTAAGAATAGAAAAATTACTTCAAAGGTATTCAAAGTCAGTAAGCATTTTAGAAAAAATTTACTACCTCACATCAAACAAAGGCAACCGTTCCAAAATAATCTAACTCGACTGAACATAGAACAGTAATGTTTTAACTATAAAGATTGAACATATTAATTTGCTTATGTGCTTATCCCCTAAATACCTTTGTATTGATTGAAAGATGAGCCCTTAAAAAGCCGACATCTTTATAAGTTTAGTACTTATTACCTTACCAAGTACTTATATATAGCGAAGGGCACGTATTCGAGCATGACGAAGACGTCTGCGACCGCGAGCCACTTCAGCAGACGATTGATCGGCGCCGCCGCCATATCGCGCCGTGTCAGGACGGCCACATTCATTGTGTTTGCGAGCACGCCTATTGTGCAAACCTGTACATAATAAAACATAATGATTTACGTATATACAGAGTATCCATATATTATGTTTATAGTACCTGGGCTACCGAGCTTTTATTAAGTACAATTTTCTTTTTTTTTAAACTAAAAACTTGAATAAATATTTAAAAAAAAAAACAAAAGTAAAAACTTTATATCCGACCGGGATTCGAACCCGGACACCTATGATTGTTAATCTTGCCGCTTGACCATGATGCTTATGCCCGAGTGTGCGTAATTATCGACTATATTTTCTTGCTGGAATAATGCGAAAGAAAACTGCATAAAAATTCGAAAACGCACGTTTTCCCAGACATAAGACTAATCTGGATCGATTTATCGCCCCCGAAACCCCTTGGATACTAAATTTCATGAAAATCGTTGGAGCCGTTTCCGAGATTCAGATTATATACAAAAATTATACAAGAATATATACAAGAATTGCTCTTTTAAATATATTAGATATATGGATTATCGCCCATTGCAACGTTCTAGAAGTTTGCGTTCTAGAAACGATTTCCGAACAGGATAATATTTATATAGTTATCCGAGAGGCTTCAGGACTAACGAGGTAGCTCTTTAAAAAAAAAAAAGCGTGTAGAAAGAACGCATAAACTACTTAATTTTTAATGTGTAGAAATGAAATGCAAATAAATTACATTGTTATGCCTCACTTTACTTATATATTGTTTGCTATATTTTCGTTTCAACGTTGTATAAAATAACTATAATAAGATAATAATTTAATCATCTATTTTTGTGCGATCCAATAAAATTATCGAGTATTCAATGGACAAAAATTCCTAGAACGAATAGTAAACAGAAAAATCTCAAAACTTAAATATAAAGTATCTTGTAAAAATAACACATTATTTAGAAAGCACGCGAAAAATATAAAAAATAGTCCATTTTTTATAATATTACTGATAGTTTATTTTACGAGTAAGTGCTATTGAATATTATAAGTATTTCACATTTATTAAAATCATATGATATTTCTTGTTAGAATAACTGAACTTAAGCTATTAGTTCCGCACCATCTCCGTATAATGATTACTGCTTAAAATTCATTGTGTTCCACATAGGAACACACGCTCATCTCACTACACATCGTATATGTCTATAAATTCGATTAAACATTATTCATATAGGCAGAATATCAGTCTATAGGTACATATAAAATGGCTCATTGGTCTGGTCTAGTGACGAGCATATATAGCTGCAGATCATTAGATCTTAAGTCCCGAGGAATCCCGGGTTTATATTTTGTCCCGCAAAATAGTTATCCGGGAGGAGCTATCGGGGTGGAGACGACACAGTGTACACCACTGTGCTTTGAAGAGCACGTAAAACTGTCCCTGCATCTAATTTCATACTTTTCATGTTAAAAAGAGTTGACTTGTTGTTTCATATTGTAGAGAGTGCACATGTGTTTATATGTCGTGCGCAGTTGGTTAATCTCAGTAATATTGGCCGCTGTAACCGAACTTGATACGGAGAACATTATTTAAAAAAACTTTATATAATAATATTAATATTTATTTCTCTATATTATTTTAATTCATGGTGATTTTGCTTCATTGTTGAGTAAATTGAATATTAAAATACCTAGTTAATATTAATACGTTTTGCTTGCTTTTGTTTTAATAGTACAGTTTTAAAACAATAAATACTTGGAGATGTAACCTTACTGGATACGCTCCTATGCACATACCTAGTAAGATTTCTTATATGAAATGGGAATATAGTGAACTGGTTGTACTCTACATAAAAAACGCATGAACAAAATCTTATCAAAATTATAAACCCAATACTAAAAAAATGAATGAGACTAGATAAAGTTACTATGTTATCAATGACCGACGGTTCGGAAAAATTGAAATATACGCTAACGTCTACGATGACTCAGAAAGAAATTTAGTTTATTTATACAGAAACTAGTAAATATATTTTGTTATTATAATTTCATATAATATTGGACCTGTCCCTAAGGAAAATATAGAAATGATACCTCATTTATCGAAATTGCAATTTGCGACCGTAATATATTTATTGTTTGCACAGACTATAAATAGCATATTAAGATTTTTTTGGCACATTGTCGATAATTATAGAGCACTATATAGGATGACAAGCATTGGTTAATACATGATACAATACTTCGCAAATACGATTTCAAGTGGAAAAAATCATTGATCTTATCATCGTTTGTGTTGGCTCTGTATCTTCTGTAGAAAAATTGCAAAAAAAAATTGTTACGACGTTCAGTTTGCTGACGATTAAATAGACATTACAAAGGTTTACCAATTTGCTCCCTTAAAATGATTTCAAAGCCACAATGGATAAATCATTGGAACAATGGAAGACCAGTACCTACTAGAGGTCGAAAAGTGAAAATAGTTAGGTAAATAAATAAATAAATTAGTTCGGACATTAACACACAGCACCATCTAGTTCCATGGTAAGCTACGAGGCTTGTGTTATGGATACCAGATACTTGATACACCACACATATATAAATTTTTACTGCCTCGGTGGTGTAGTGGCTAGCATGTACGGCTGCACACCCGGAGGTCCTGGGTTCGAGTCCCGGGTCGGGCCAAATTTAGTGATTGAGTCTTTCTGTATAGTAAGTCTCAGTAACAGCCCGGAGTTGGGAAGTTAGCGGTGTTTTACCCCCGTACCTCGGAGGGCACGTAAAGCCGTCGGTCCTGCGCCTTAACTCTCACCGGTCGTGTCGAGTGGTCGTCCCACCGGAGTATGAGAGTGATAGGAATAGAGAGTGCACTTGTGTCTGCGCGTATACTTGAGCACTATAATATCTCCTGCGCAGTTGGCTAATCTCAATGAGATTGGCCGCCGTAGACGGAATCGACTAGGAGAACATCATATAAATTTTAAATACATAATTATTATAAATATAAACACTCATGACTGAAGTACCAACATTCATGCTCATCACACAAATGAATTCCCCTAGCGGGACTCGAACCCGCGACCGTTGGCACAGCAAGTAGGATCACTACAAACTGAGCCAAACGTGTCATCAAATATAATATGTATATGTAATGTAATGGTATATATAATAATATAAAAATTGGAAAGTATGTTTATATTCTTGATTTTCTGACTGATATATTTTTTAATAGAGAGTGTCATGCAGTACTATTTACTTCATAAATCAGCTTATTCTCGTGTGATATTAATAATGTGACTCATATATTAAAATATTTTCGTAAATACTTATTTTTATTATTCTGCCCAATAGCTGAAGGACACTATTCATCAACTCCGGTCAATTTAATTATTTTGATAGATATTATCATATTGAATTTTCTCTTTGGGCATTTTTCAAAATGCCCGAGCATTATGAAGAATTTTCTATTAATTACTTGGTCCATAACTTAATAAGACAAAAATATAAATAACGTGACGTTATAACAAGCTACCTATAGCGCTAATATATATACATATTTGTGTACGCTTTGTGTAAGGCCTCTATCGCCAAATTAAAAAAAAATGTTAAAGAACGTATGTGTGCTAAAGGCCATTATACAATAAATGATTTTATAGAAGATGGCACACCTTGGGAATGAAATTGTCGCCTCCAGGCTATTTCAACTTGATAGAAATATTGTACATTATAATCTTACTTTAAAAAAAGATAATTTAATATTGATCCCGCTGAGTTTCTTTCGCCAGTTCTTCTCAGGTCTGAGGCTTCTTCTTTCCGAACTGGTAGTAGACTCATGACGTTCAGTAAAAAATTGTAATAATTTAATACTGAATAAAATATTTTGATTTTGATTTTTGTACAATGCCGAAGACAGGAGCCTGTCTATACCAATAGTACCGATTTGGCTATTTCTTGAAACTTCGTGAAGAAGATTTTAAAGGAAAAAATTGGGTTAGATAAGAAATCTTACTCTAATTTTCGTTTTAGCTCAAAGATCACAAAAGAATATTTTATTAAATTTAGAACAATGTGTCAGCTAGTAAACAAAATCTGCTTTTACATGTCACGTACTAGTGATAGATAGCTTACACGCATATTGAAAATCTTCGCAGGTGAGAGATCATGTGCTATTCATTAATCAGTATAACAAAAAAGGGTAAGTTAAGCATATTAGACCTAAATGCAAATATAAATCACGTATGATAAAATAATAAAACATACAAGTTAGTAAAATAATAAAACATATAGGTTTTAATTACATTGTCTGGGTTCTATTATTTTCACATTCAAAGAAAACTAGTGCCATACATAGTCCTACAAACATAATTATTACTTTACAATTTTACATGTACGATAATCTATACTAATGTTAATTATTTATAATATGTATATATTTAAAGTTACGTATGTGTAGTGTATCAACTATCTGGTATCCATAACACAAGCCTCGTAGCTTACCATGGAACTAGATGGCGCTGTGTGTTAATGTCCCAACATTATAATAATTATAATAATAAAAAATGTAATAAAGAGTTTTGTGGGTTTGTGAGTTTGTGACGTTGTAGCGGGTAAAGAAAAGTTTATAGAATTTTGTCTGTCTGTCTGTCGGTCGGGGAACGCATCATGAAAATACCATTGGACAATTTTTGATGAAATTTGGTATGATGATAGCTGGTTGTCTTGCTTTATTTTGTGTTATTTTGGTTAGTAACCTTTTACTGCGGGAAATATCTCATTTTTGAGAAATGTTTACAAACCCGAACGACGGACGGGACGAACCCGAGCGGAGCAAGGGTGAGTCGCTAGTTAAATATAAAATTGATCTTGTAGAGGAAGTCGAACTCACCCACTGAGGGGTACCCTCAACACCAGCAATCAGCTCACACTATATGCTGGTTTTATAACTGTATATGAATAACAATAAAAAAAACATCATATTGTGTAGTGGTTGTATTGGCGTTGGCACATTGCCAGTTTTTTTATTCTTTGTTTTATTATGTATAGGTACATTACATCAAAGCTAGTTTAAATTTTGTTT